GATCAATGAGTTGTTAGTTACAGGTTTTATGCTGTATTTGTAATATTGATCAATGAGTTGTTAGTTACAGGTTTTATGCTTTATTTGTAATATTGATCAATGAGTTGTTAGTTACAGGTTTTATGCTGTATTTGTAATATTGATCAATGAGTTGTTAGGAAGTCTGTGTACTGGTTAGCTCTCCTGTTATCAGTAACGGAAAGTTTAACATACCACTGTATTAATACACAAATTAAAACACCTTAATGTTTATATAATCCCTAAACTCTGGAATTTATTATTTTAAATGATTAAATAAATTTCTATAAGTTGATAGTTTGATAACTACTTGGTAAGCCAACTGTTTTATTTGACCTATCATTTTTAATATACAGTACAAAATATAAATGTAAAAAGTGTGCATTTTAGAATAAAGTGGTAACACGATACTTGAGTTGATAAATGGCCCTTTTTTAACTCCTGTGTACACAATGTCAGTACAAAATATAATTTTATATTTATAGGTAAATATATAGACATTTACACAATGTCAGTACAAAATATAATTTTATATTTATAGGTTAGTGTATGGAGGTAGACCTTTAATTTCTGAGATAAAAGAAACTGTTTAACTTTGCTATTTGTAATCAGATATCGTTTAAAAATCACGGCCACCCTGTGCTTTTTGAGCGGTGTTAGCTAATCTAAGTACACCATTTTACATTAAGTCTGTAAATACTGTTATTCAACATTATGATAATTCTGTTCTGTGTTTGACACAACATTGATCAACAGTACCTCACGTACACCTGTAAACCATATCACCTAAGTCTGTTACCAACACGCCAGTTTTAAGCTGGGACAGAAATGGATAGTTGTTGTTTGAAGGCACTGAGATCCATTGGAAGTCCCATGACAATTAGTTGTTGGAAATATGAAGTTATTCATTTGCAGTTGATATTATGCAGCAGTTAGTCATATTTCTATGACTAGGATTTTTAAATGTCATTTGACATTTTGATGACTTCCTGTTTTATGCATAAGGATTGACATGTAATATGCACAAGTCAAACACACTGGAACTGTGACAGGACGTGATGAATTAACAGAACGGGTGATTCTACTACATAAATAATAATCCAATAAAGTGATCAAGGCTCGGTGTGACTGACTGTTTTACTGTTGTTTGTTAACTGGACATATCCTGTACCCAGGAGACTGGTGCCGTGTATTGATTATTGACGTCCCTGTTCAGACCTGTCTATCACTCGCCCTGGCACACTCAGGTGTTACGTTTTACAGACAGGCACCTGTGTTAAATATGTCACGTTAAATTATACCTGCACCAAGGTATGAAGTCTCCGATATTGACCTCCGTAAACCTGTCTGTGATTTATATATAAACATTCTGTGTGGGGATATCTTACCAGGACCTTGTAAAAGTGCTGGATGTATCATACAATGAATTCTGTTATCTGATTATCACTGGACTTAGTTTCTGGATGTTGGAACTACCACCAGCTTGCTAGAGAGACAAGGATGATTCTGATCTTAAAGAGCTTTATGTGATATAATTCCGTGCTTTCTCTGCCAGCTCTCCCAGAATTGTGGATATACTTTAACTGGCAGCTGTATACTGACCAGTCTCATTGGTGTCACAGCCAGCAGCTCTATACTGACCAGTCTCATTGGTGTCACAGCCAGCAGTAGACATCTAAAGATGAAGTAAAATTGAAGCAAAGTAAAGTCTAAAGGAAGAATTTTCAGGATATATATAATTAAGATATGACAACACAATTATCATTACTAAAGACGGTAATTTAAGCAATCTGTACAGTCATCATGACCGTCCCTCGAGTAGGTTTACTATAACCAGACTCAGGAGTCGTTGACGTCAGCACCACAGTATGGAGCCCCGTGATCTGATGCACCAGGACAAGTCCCTGTTTTGGGTATATAACCATGTGACAATCTAAACACTGAAACAATAGATAGGATCTTAGTGTTATCATTGTCCTTGTCAGTTGATATACCTTATACTTACCTGGTCAATTGACATTGATGTTAATGCTACTAGTTGTAACTGTACATTCCTCTTAATATCATTTATCAGAGATGCATGTGATATTAAGTGAAATGTTATATGTACAGAAATACTTTTCTGTAACAGTAAAACATGTTTATCATAAAGTGAAAGTTCATCATGTAGGAACTCAGATTTTAGATGCTACATATCAATGCACCCTTGTCAGGAGCAAAGCTGGGTTAGTAAAGAGACCAGTTCTTTAGTCTTATCATTTTACACTTAACCCAAGAGTAGGGTTCCTTAGTATGATAACAAAATGGTTGTCAATATCTCCATAGGTTTCAACCTGTTACAGAAATGCTAGTGAATCGCAACTGGGAATCATACACAAAACTAATAGAGGATTTCATACTTGGTATACAGAGAGGAGAATATAGTAACATACCATTAACATGACATATAGCAACCTGACACTGTACACTAGTGAGAACTGACAAGTTACCCAAGAACAAACGGGATTAGTTAACTCAGGTCGGGATTAGTTAACTCAGGTCGAGATTAATTAACTCAGGTCGGGATTAGTTAACTCAGGTCGGGATTAGTTAACTCAGGTCGGGATTAGTTAACTCAGGTCGGGATTAATTAACTCAGGTCGGGATTAGTTAACTCAGGTCGGGATTAGTTAACTCGGGTCGGGATTAGTTAACTCAGGTCGAGATTAGTTCACTCAGGTCGGGATTAGTTAACTCAGGTTGGGATTAGTTAACTCAGGTCGTATCTGTATTGACCTTGACCTACATTATCTTACAGGAGCCAACATTCTATATTATAACTTGAAGGCCTGATTCTATGTTACAATAATGATTTGCTGTATTTTATTCACTGTCAGATTGGACATTATGAACGGAAACTCCGGAACCAGGAACATGACTTACAGGAGCTCCGAGACCAGAGGAAGAAATCTATGGATGAGGTATGATGTAATTGTATTACCTCTATTCTTTAACAACAGTGCCAACTTTGAACATGGATCTGTGATAACAATTTCAGTTTCGTAGCTTACCTAGTCTTGAACTTTACTAATTTCCAGCAATTATAAAATTAGTACATATTTATGTATGCTGATCATTTTTATGTGCAGATTTTTTTTGTTGAAATATGATGCATGGTACAGAGGGATAGTTTGTACAGCCACAGTAGGAAAATTCTTAATAAATTAACTGTTACATCTATATCATCACATAAGTGTTGTATGTATAAATTACCTGATATGTCTATAACATCACATAAGTATTGTATGTATAAATAACCTGTTATATCTATATCATCACATAAGTGTTGTATGTATAAATTACCTGTTACATCTATATCATCACATAAGTATTGTATGTATAAATAACCTGTTACATCTATATCATCACATAAGTGTTTTATGTATTACAATTAATGTATGTAATACTCGTAGATTGGAGTCCTCCAGGAGAGACTCAGAGACAGCCAGGTGTCTACGAAAGACCACCACGAGGTCCTCAAGTCGGAGCTGGCCCGTCGTGATGAGACTATCCAGAAACTTCGCAGGGACGTTCTGACCCTCCAGGAGAAACGGGATGCGGCTGTCAGCGAGGTATAACTAATCGTACTGCTGCTGTTCACTGTGGAGTTGTCATATGTAACCTTTTGTCAATCATGTAGTTTTAATGAGTATCATTTCATATTTTTGTCACCTGTCTATTTTGAAAATGCAGATGTTTTGTAATTGAGCTATATCATATTTACATAACTAACAGCTCAGCTTCAGTGAATTTATGCCAGTGGACACATTAACTATTATTACTGCTAGATGTTATTAAAATACATAAATCATATTCTATATAAATGTTTTTAATAATCTGAAGATGTATGAAATTATCTCCCCTTACTGATACTACCATTAGTGTAAGAGGATGCTTTATTATGCTATCTTAAGTACAGGGCTATAGTCTATAAAGTTATAGAGTACAGGGCTATAGTTATAGAGTACAGGGCTATAGTTATAGAGTACAGGGTTATAGTCTATAAAGTTATAGAGTACAGGGCTATAGTTATAGAGTACAGGGCTATAGTTATAGAGTACAGGGCTATAGTCTATAGTTATAGAGTACAGGGCTATAGTCTATTAAGTTATTGAGTACATGACTATAGTCTATAGTTATAGAGTAAATGACTATAGTCTATAGTTATAGAGTACAGGACTATAGTCTATAGTTATAGAGTACAGGACTACAGTCTATAAAGTTATAGAGTACAGGGCTATAGTTATAGAGTACAGCACTATAGTCTATAGTTATATAGTACAGGACTACAGTCTATAAAGTTATAGAGTCCAGGGCTATAGTTATAGAGTAAAGGGCTATAGTCTATGAAGTTATTGATTACAGGGCTATAGTCTGTAGGTATACAGTACTGGGTTATAGTCTATAAAGATATTGAGTACAAGGCTATAGTCTAAAAGTATAGAGTACAGGGCTATAGTTATAGAGTACAGCACTATAGTCTATAGTTATATAGTACAGGACTACAGTCTATAAAGTTATAGAGTCCAGGGCTATAGTTATAGAGTAAAGGGCTATAGTCTATAAATTTATTGATTACAGGGCTATATTCTATAGGTATACAGTACTGGGTTATAGTCTATACAGATATTGAGTACAGGGCTATAATCTAAAAGTATAGAGTACAGGGCTATAGTTATAGAGTACAGCACTATAGTCTATAGTTATATAGTACAGGACTACAGTCTATAAAGTTATAGAGTCCAGGGCTATAGTTATAGAGTACAGGACTCCAGTCTATAAAGTTATAGAGTAGAGGGCTATAGTTATAGAGTACAGGCCTATAGTCTATAAAGTTATTGAATACAGGGCTATCGTCTATAGTTATAGAGTAAAGGGCTATAGTCTATAAAGTTATAGAGTCCAGGGCTATAGTTATAGAGTACAGCACTATAGTCTATAGTTATAGAGTACAGGACTATAGTCTAAAGTTATAGAGTACAGGACTATAGTCTATAAAGTTATTGAGTACAGGGCTATGGTCTATAAAGTTATTGAATACAGGGCTATAGTCTATAGTTATAGAGTAAAGGGCTATAGTCTATAAAGTTATTGATTACAGGGCTATAGTCTATAGGTATACAGTACTGGGTTATAGTCTATAAAGATATTGAGTACAGGGATATAGTATAAAGTTATAGAGTACAGGACTATAGTTTATACAGTTATTGAGTACAGGGGTATAGTCTATAAAGTTATTGAATACAGGGCTATAGTCTATAGTTATAGAGTCAAGGGCTATAGTCTATAAAGTTATTGATTACAGGGCTATAGTCTGTAGGTATACAGTACAGGGCTATAGTCTATATAGTTCAGGGCTATAGTCTATAGAATACAGGGCTATAGTCTATAGTTATAGAGTCAAGGGCTATAGTCTATAAAGTTATTGATTACAGGGCTATATTTTATAGGTATACAGTACTGGGTTATAGTCTATAACGATATTGAGTACAGGGCTATAGCCTAAAAGTATAGAGGACAGGGCTATAGTCTATAGTTATAGAGTACAGGACTATAGTTATAGAGAACAGGACTATAGTCTAAAGTTATGGAGTACAGGACTATAGTCTATAAAGTTATCTAGTACAGGGCTATAGCTATAGTTATAGAGTACAGGGCTATAGTCTATGAAGATATTGAGTACAGGGCTATAGTCTAAAAGTATAGAGTACAGGGCTATAGTCTATAGTTATACAGTACATGGCTATAGTCTATAGGTATACAGTACAGGGCTATAGTCTATATAGTTCAGGGCTATAGTCTATAGAATACAGGGCTATAGTCTATAGTTATAGAGTACAGGACTATAGTTATAGAGAACAGGACTATAGTCTAAAGTTATGGAGTACAGGACTATAGTCTATAAAGTTATCTAGTACAGGGCTATAGTCTATAGTTATAGAGTGCAGGACTATAGTTATAGAGTACAGGACTATAGTCTAAAGTTATAGAGTACAGGACTATAGTCTATAAAGTTATCTAGTACAGGGCTATAGTCTATAGGTATAGAGTACAGGGCTATAGTCTATAGTTATACAGTACAGGGCTATAGTCTATAGGTATACAGTACAGGGCTATAGTCTATATAGTACAGGGCTATAGTCTATAGAATACAGGGCTATAGTCTATAGTTATAGAGTACAGGGCTATAGTCTATAGGTATAGAGTACAGGGCTATAGTCTATAGTTATACAGTACAGGGCTATAGTCTATAGGTATACAGTACAGGGCTATAGTCTATAGTCTATATAGTACAGGGCTATAGTCTATAGAATACAGGGCTATAGTCTATAGGTAGAAAGTACAGGGCTATAGTCTATAGGTATACTGTACTGGGCTATAGTCTATAGAGTACTGGGCTATAGTCTATAGAGGACAGGGCTATAGTCCAAGTAGGGCGACCTAGAAGCTGCTAGCTATTGTGTGTGTGAATGTATAACTTGAGTTGAGGTTTGTTGTTTGCCTCGTGTTTTAGTTGGACAAGCAGACTAACAATATGATCCAGTTTGAGGACAAGAACAAACGCTCCAATGATGAGGTAACCTTGGCAACATGAGTGACACGCTTCTTATCTCACCCGCTGATTTGTGTGTTCTTTCTTTACTCATGCTAACATCCTGGCTGTCCTTGTTGGAAGAATAGGCAAAAAAACACATTTTGTTTGGTTTGTGACACAATCTATGCTAATCAATCATTTCACAATATTTGATGTGCTACGATAATGTAATAAATGCTGTAGGTACAGAACTCATATAAGTTTGTGTAGGCTCGGATGTATACCAGTGTGTCTAGGCTCAGATGTAAACCAGTGTGTCTAGGCTCAGATGTAAACTAGTGTGTCTAGGCTCAGATGTAAACCAGTGTGTCTAGGCTCAGAAGTATACCAGTGTGTCTAGGCTCAGATGTAAACCAGTGTGTCTAGGCCCAGATGTAAACCAGTGTGTCTAGGCTCAGATATAAACCAGTGTGTCTAGGCTCAGATGTAAACCAGTGTGTCTAGGCTCAGAGGTATACCAGTGTGTCTAGGCTCAGATGTAAACCAGTGTGCCTAGGCTCAGATGTAAACCAGTGTGTCTAGGCTCAGATGTTAACCAGTGTGTCTAGGCTCAGATGTATACCAGTGTGTCTAGGCTCAGATGTAAACGAGTGTGTCTAGGCTCGGATGTAAACCAGTGTGTCTAGGCTCAGATGTTAACCAGTGTGTCTAGGCTCAGATGTATCCCAGTGTGTCTAGGCTCAGATGTAAACCAGTGTGCCTACGCTCAGCTGTAAACCAGTGTGTCTAGGCTCAGATGTGAGTAAACCAGTGTGTCTAGACTCGGATGTAAGTAAACCAGTGTGTGTATGCTCAGATGTAAACCAGTGTGCGTAGGCTCAGATGTAAACCAGTGTGTCTAAGCACAGATGCTTGACTTCTCATTGAACTGTAGTTAAAGATAAATTGGTCCACAGTTTCGCATCAAGATAGGGTCAATATTAATAACATTGTTTACTTTTTCAACTTACGAAGATTTTCCATCAACAGCCATTCCTGTAGAGGATCAGATATGTCCTACTCTCTAGGATTTCTGTTTTTCACTTTCAGGAGAGAGAATAAAATCAAAATTTTATGTTTAAGTTTCAGTTATTGCACTCAGTCTTCTGAAATCTTTTTATCCTTTATTGATTTTATTAACTTTTCATGAAAATTTAAAGCTAAAATTTTGCACATTATTAGCTTGTACCTTTTGTAAAATTTGTTTTCATTATGTGGCTTGTAATGTAGTTATTGTTGTTTTATATACTTTACATACTGTATCTCTGTTTGTAGTGTAGTTCTGTTTGTAACATATATAACTGTCTTTGTGACCCTATCAACCTTTGACCATTAGGTTGCAGTAAATATGAATTTATGATGTACACAGTTTCTTGTCAGATGACAACCCCACCTCTCATCCACCTACCCCAACCTTTACCTGAACACCCCAACCTCATCTCTACATCCCCATCCTCATCTCTACATCCCCACCCCCTCATCCCTACATCCCCACCCTCATCTCTACATCCCCACCCCCTCATCTCTACATCCCCACCCTCATCTCTACATATCCACCCTCATCTCTACATCACCACCCTCATCTCTACATCACCACCCTCATCCCTACATCCCCAACCTCATCTCTACATCCCCATCCTCAATCATCTTCACATCCCAACTGACATCTCTACACCTCCAACCTTCAGGTTATTTCTACTCCCAAAACTTATCTTAACAAACCCACTATATATCATCATCACACTCTCATCTCTATTCCCTTCACACCCACTGTATATAAGGAGGCACAGAAGTCTAGTGGTAGGACACCGGGCTCATGACCGAATGGTTGCAGGTTCGAGTCACGGCACGGCACTGTGTTGTATCTTTGAGCAAGATACTCTTCTCCGCTTGTTCCAGTCTTCTCAGCTGTAAAGTATGTGGCTGGGCAGTGATAGAATTGTTGAATGCTAGCTGCGATTGCCGAAATTGCAGCACCAGCTGTATGCTCCCCAGGGAGTTGAGAAAGATATTGGCTGGTTGAAAAGGCCCTATAATCACGGATAATAATTTGTGAACCGCTTTGAGATGATCCACAAACTAGGTTGTAATAAAGCGGTATATAAGAACCTCGAATTATTATTATTGTTACACACAATCAGCACACTCTCATCTCCATTCCCCTCCCTTGTTTTCACACCTCCATCGTAAGGAAATCAGAGATTCATCTTGAATTTGTCATTGTGAACAAAGAGTCATTACATGTTAACAGGTTCCTTAGATTTCGTCATACTACCAGCATGTCTCAGTGTTAAATCATTAGGATGTTTTAATACTTGTTACTGTGAAATGTTGTCATATAGGATCTGCTTGACCTGAGATATCTTTTCTCAACAGTTACATCGCCTAGAGGCAAGGAATAAAATTGTGGAGGAGGAACTAGCATCTTTGAGGAAACAAGCAGATGACTCTAAATCAGACGTATGTACATTGAGTTACTGTGTTACTGTATCACCAATCCTTATTTATTCGTACTGATCAGGAGACTTATCTAATTTTCCTTCTGTTTTGTAACTTGATTTTTTTTTTAAATGTTTTGGGCAATAAGCACTTATTAATGAATGAAGTTTTTTAAAGGTTTAATGTGTTAAATCTAATTTGTTTGTGGAGTTTAAGATATTTTTTGCTTCACAAAATAAATTGTTTGTTATCAAATTTTTTCTTGTGTTTTGTAATAATTTTTTATTCATATATGCAAAACAATTACTTGAAACTTTTTTCAATGTTATTGTGACACCTTGTTTCTGTTAGTTTTATCTTTGTTATAAATTGAGCATTGCTTTTGTTTTCAGATGTTATAATTCAACATATTTTTTACCCTTTTTTTGGTTAATTACTTTATTTCAGGTATTTTATATTACTAATGTTTTTTCTTTTAGTTGATTTTACAAATTAATGGCCATTTAGAACATATTGAAATACTTTCTGTAAACACTGAATGTCAGTGACGGTGTTTGTTCCAGCCACAGTGACTATATCTAGCAGTAGGAGATAGATAGTGTGACCTACTTTTTGTCCTTAAACAAATATACTCGTACTTTGTATATTAGTGTATTAAAAGATTACTCAGAATGTCTCTGTAAAGCATCAGTGTAAAAAAGTACCTGTAGAAGTTTAACCTTGGACTGAGTCTGACAGGAACCCAAGGGGTTAACATATAATGTTATTCTCCCAAGGGGTCAATATAAAATGTTATTCTCCCAAGGGGTTAATATAAAATGTTATTTTCCCAAGGGGTTAACATAAAATGTTATTCTCCTAAGGGGTCAATATAAAATGTTATTCTCTCAAGGGGTTAACATATAATGTTATTCCCCCAAGGGTCAATATAAAATGTCATTCTCCCAAGGAGTCAACATAAAATGTTATTCCCCCAAGGGGTTAACATATAATGTTATTCCCCCAAGGGGTTAATATAATATGTTATTCTCCTAAGGGGTTAACATAAAATGTTATTCTCCCAAGGGGTTAACATATCATGTTATTCTCCCAAGGGGTTAATATAAAATGTTATTCTCCCAAGGGGTAAACATATAATGTTATTCTCCCGAGGGGTTAATATAAAATGTTATTCCCCCAAGTGTCAATATAAAATGTTATTCTCTCAGGGGGTCAATATATAATGTTATTCCCCCAAGGGTCAATATAAAATGTTATTTTCCCAAGGTGTCAATATAAAATGTTATTCTCTCAGGGGGTCAATATATAATGTTATTCCCCCAAGGGACAATATAAAATGTTATTCTCCCAAGGATATAATGTTATTCTCCCAAGGAGTCAACATAAAATGTTATTCTCCCAAGGATATAATGTTATTCTCCCAAGGGGTCAATATAAAATGTTATTCTCCTAAGGGGTCAATATAAAATGTTATTCCCCCAAGGGTCAATATAAAATGTTATTCTCCTAAGGGGTCAATATAAAATGTTATTCTCTCAAGGGGTCAATATATAATGTTATTCCCCCAAGGGTCAATATAAAATGTTATTCTCCCAAGGAGTCAACATAAAATGTTATTCTCCCAAGGGGTTAACATATAATGTTATTCCCCCAAGGGTCAATATAAAATGTTATTCTCCCAAGGAGTCAACATAAAATGTTATTCTCCCAAGGGGTTAACATATAATGTTATTCCCCCAAGGGTCAATATAAAATGTTATTCTCCCAAGGAGTCAACATAAAATGTTATTCTCCCAAGGGGTTAACATATAATGTTATTCCCCCAAGGGTCAATATAAAATGTTATTCTCCCAAGGAGTCAACATAAAATGTTATTCTCCCAAGGGGTTAACATATAATGTTATTCCCCCAAGGGTCAATATAAAATGTTATTCTCCTAAGGGGTTAACATAAAATGTTATTTTCCCAAGGGGTCAACATAAAATGTTATTCTCCCAAGGGGTCAACATAAAATGTTATTTGTTTTTCTTTTCCAAAAAATTCAATTTAATAATTATGAAATCTTGTGGCTTTGGAAAAGTAGTATATATATATGCTTATGAACAAATATTAATATTTTCTGATGCTCATTTTACCATTATGACATAAAACTAATTTGGCAGGTTCTCTATAGCTTTGAGTACCATCCTATCTTCCTGCCTATGAACATAGCTTCTTGTATGAACATCACAGCCTCACATACCCTATAGCCTAATCTGTAGTATACTGTTATTTACATCCAAACCCTGGATTGTACAAACTCATTGTTGGATTACATTCAAGCTTAGGGTGACATGTCCCGTAGAGTCTAACCTATACAGACCATTTATTATACAGGCCACTTCTAATGTAACCAAGCTGGCCAGAGTGGACGCGGAATTAGAAACTCTGCGCTCACAGCACCACGAGTCGTTAGCCCAGGTAGTCTCATCAACTCGTATTGTCACCTAGCGTGCATTAACCTGCTTTGATCTCACTGCTGTAGCCGGTGCTGCCTCCTGGTAGACAGCGGGTGTAGTGTTGTATACTGTCCTATACGCTTCACCAAACATCTCCTAATTCAACTGTTGATGTCTTGCTTTCAGTTTATTAAATGTTCACCTGTGATGGTTTTCTATGATTTTCACAAGACTCAACAGATCTAGGAATGATTGTCTCAAGAATTACATATGATAATAAATTAAAATGTTGAATTTAAAAATAACAGTTTTGCAACTTTAACAATTTTCAGGTTTTCTTTTTTATATGAAATTGTTTAAACAATGAAAAGAATTTATTTCAGTTTATATTTTTTCATATTTTTTTTAACCACACATACAAAAGATTTTTTTTCAATTGAGATTTTGTTTTTTCAATTAGTATTTTTTTTAAATATTTTTGTTGCTATCAATAACTGAATTAAATGTTCTTAGCAGATTCAAGTGATGTTGCACAAATATTTTTTTTCTTGACTTTTTCAATTTTCGTTGTAGTTACTTTAACACAATTTTTGTTCAATCATTATAAACTAGACACACAGTTACAATTTGATCACCTGGGGAATATTAAAGATACTTGGAGTATAGCAAGAAAGATCCACTATAAAGAAGTCCTGCATGAGAACCATACATGTACTCTTAGATAAGATTTAATAGCCTGTTACAAATCAAAATGAAAATTCATTTTAATTAGTAGTTATTATGAAACTTCGTTAAACAGGTGTATAAATGCACATTATATGCTGTAGATAAGATTTAATCATTATAAGGTTAGATATGTGTCTAGGGTGACGTACCGTTGAGCTTCATTAGTGTTAAGGAATTCCTCAAAAAGTGTACCTAATCAGAAAAATAATTCCCAGTACTTCTTGTTTAATTTGTTTAGACTGGGTAATTAATATTGTTACGTTTTCTTTATGAGGAACTTGAGATAAACCTGGCTCAACTGTAAATCAGCACAGACATTGTTTGAATGTAATTTATCTGCATAAAATACACAAACCAGGAGTTCCACCTACAAGTTATATTACCTCCCTTGGAAGAAATCTTTCGGAAATATCAAAATGAATCTGTAATTATTTTTTTCCACTGACTTTTCATGAAAATACCTTTGAAGAAATATTACAATCCTTGTCTGTAACGAAATTAGTAAGTGAAGAAATATTACAATCCTTGTCTGTAACGAAATTAGTAAGTGAAGAAATATTACAATCCTTGTCTGTAAAGTAATTAGTAAGGAAAGTAGTTTGAATGTTCCATGGAACTGTTTAATGCAGAAGAATTGCCTCTTATTATATCATGAATACTGGGAGTGGTATTGTTGAGTATTTAGTTGATTTATATTGGATGTGGTATATGTTATGCATGGGTCACAGGGTTTACATTTTGAACACTACATCCAGTAGATTTTGTGTATAGTGAGACTGTACATTGTATGCCTGTAACGAAATGTGTGCTGTATTGTATTACGGTGGAGGTATAACAAGTGATCATCAGTGTGGTGAATTTTGGTATCTTTTGTTTGAGGTTACGATCAATTTTTCTTTTTGTTCTGTTTTGCTGAAATATAAGCTTATTCTGTCACATCTTCCTTTTATGTGATAAACACATTTCTGTCTTTTTATAATTTGTTTTATTTGGGATAAATAGATGTTTCATAAAATTGGGCATAGATTGCAAAATTTGTAAATGATAATGATTATATAGTGTCAAATATATTTTCAGTAAATGTCAATTTATAAAGGTTTGGTAAAATGAATTTTATACCGGTAATCATGTTGTTTTTTGAGGAAAATAATGGATTAATAATTTGATCAGATTTTTTTAATTTATGATTAAACGTTAACTCTTTGATTTTGTTATGTATGTTTTTTGCATCCTAATTTCCCTGTTGGAATGTTAGAGTTCACTCTCCTGTGCTGATGATTGGCCACCCCACCTTGATGTTGTGATTATGTTTGAGTGAATTTGCAATACAGGTGAAAACGTACATCTCCAAGCTGGCCAGGGCCGAGGGTGAGATGCAGATGATTCGTGCAGAGAACACAGAGTCTGTTTCTCAGGTCAGAGGGCAATGTTGTGTAGGCTGGTATAACAAAGCTGCTCTCGCTTCCGTACTCCACTGACAGTGGCGGGAGTTACCTACTCCTAGATCTACGCCGACTCAGTGTCATGTGCTTTTGATTCATTTGTTTAATATTTGACTCAGGAAACTTACTCAAACTTCTATACTTAAGAACTGGATTTTTTTTTTTTTTTGAAATATAATAATAATTTGAGAAAGGAAACAAAAGTTTGAAAGTTAAAACTGGTTATCAATAAATTGTGATGTTTTGGCACATAACTAATTACGATATGAAATGGTCTCAAGTCTGACAATGGTCTCCAGTCTGACATGTAGAAGGTTGAGTCAGTCTATATCGGTGCATGTTTATGTTGTGCTTGTTTCAAATTTTGTCTGCAATCAGGAGAAGGATCTAATTATAACGAATGCTTGCCGATTAGTGTTAGCGTCAGTGGAATGTTTTAGGTAACCCCTAACCTGTACAGAAAGCTTCAGGCAGTGATGGGGCTGGAGGTGGGACAGTTTGGTCTACTAAATGCTTTCTAGCTCACCTGGCCCGAAGGGCCATGTGAGCTTATGCCGTACTGTGGCGTCCGTTGTCCGTTGTCCGTCGTCCGTCCGTCAACTTTTTCTTTTGAACGACTTCTTCTGAAGAACTGTAGGATCTAGGATCATGATATTTGGCCAGTAGGTACCTGGGATGGAGTGCTATAAGGTTTCCTCATTAAAATGACCTTGACCTACTTTCAAGGTCACTGGGGTCAAATATGTTAAAAACTTCAAACAACAATATGGTAAGAATCATTTGGACTAGAGTCATGATACTTGGGTATTTTATGTAGACCAGCTGTGTGAATTGTTTTCTTTATTACAGTAATGAGGTCAAAGGTCAACTTTAAGTGCAAGTCGGGAGCCAAAGGTCGATGTGTGTTAAAAGCTTTTAAATTAAAATTTTAAGTTTCAAACAACAATATCTTCAGAACCGTTTAGAGATGTTAAAATGTCTAGTTACCAAATTTGGTCTTAAGTCACCTATATGTCAGTTTCATGTAACAAAAGAAACAGGTGAGCGATACAGGCCCTCTGGGCCTCTTGTTATTAGAAGAGGGTTGTTTATATTTTATTTTACCAGGCTGCTGTTTACTTTAATGAAAAATCATGTAAATAACATTTTGTTCATTTTTTTAATGTGTGTTTTTTTAACAATGAATGTACAAATTTTGGTTTTGTTTGATGAGGTTTGATACTAATAATTCTTGTGTTAAGAGGGTTCGTGTTGGTTACTTTTAATCTTGGTGTTACAAGATTACACAGAATATGTATGGCTTGTCTATTTCTCTCCTTTTTTGTCAATTAATTTATTATGTGTTAAATCAGAAAAATATCAGTCTATGCATGCGCTCAATGGCTTACTGGATTATCTTATTTTCCCCCTGATAACCTTTTTTAAACCGTCCTTTTCTCCCTGAAAGCCTTTGCCTTACAGCTGCATGAAACGTCACAAAAAGTAATAACACTGATGTAGCCACGGAGGTCTCCCTCGTAATCTGTGTGGTGGCGCATGTAGATATACAGCACCTGTCTGATGTACCCACATATACCGATGCATGCCTCTCACCTCGTAACTATGTTAACTGTGTGGAATGGATTGTGTTCTGAATGTTAATACATTAGTTGAATTGTTGTGTTTTAATTTTGACAAAGTCATCTCCTTTGTTCATAACTGTTCCAGATTGAGTTTTTTATAAGTGACTTTATATTATTACGTGGATTTTTTTTATTGATATGAGCAAAGGTGTCTTTATAATCATAACTACAATGTTCATCAAATGATTATTAACTAAGATAATTTTTGATCAATACTTCAGATTTTAATTGATGGAATTAAACACTGCCAGTAATTTGATATCCTAAGTTACTGTTTCCCCGCAGTTCTCACATGATACTGCAGTATCAGCAATATTGTCTGTTAGATTATCACTCGCTGTTATTGTTAGATTATCACTCGCTGTTATTGTTTATGAACCGTTAGATTATCACTCGCTGTTATTGTTAGATTATCACTCGCTGTTGTTGTTTATGAACCGTTAGATTATCACTTGCTGTTATTGTTAGATTATTACTCGCTGTTATTGTTTATGAACCGTTAGATTATCACTCGCTGTTATTGTTAGATTATCACTCGTTGTTATTGTTTATTAACCGTTAGATTAGCACTCGCTGTTATTGTTAGATTATTACCCGCTGTTATTGTTTATAAACCGTTAGATTATCACTCGCTGTTATTGTTTATGAACCGTTAGATTATCACTCGCTGTTATTGTTAGATTATTACTCGCTGTTATTGTTTATGAACGGTTAGATTATCACTCGCTGTTATTGTTTATGAACCGTTAGATTATCACTCGCTGTTATTGTTTATGAACCATTAGATTATCACTAGCTGTTATCGTTTATGAACCATTAGATTATCACTAGCTGTTATTGTTTATGAACCATTAGATTATCACTCGCTGTTATTTTTTTTGAACCATTAGATTATCACTCGCTGTTATTGTTTATGAACCGTTAGATTATCAATCGCTGTTATTGTTTATGAACCATTAGATTATCCCTCGCTGTTATTTTTTTTGAACCATTAGATTATCACTCGCTGTTGTTGTTTATGATCCGTTTGATTATAACTCGCTGTTATTGTTTATGAACCATTAGATTATCACTCACTGTTATTTTTTTTGAACCATTAGATTATCTCTCGCTGTTATTGTTTAGGATCCGTTAGATTATCACTCGCTGTTATAGTTTATGAACCGTTAGATTATCACTCGCTGTTATTGTTTATAAACCGTTAGATTATCACTCGCTGTTATTGTTTATGATCCGTTAGATTATCACTCGCTGTTATTGTTTATGAACCATTGAGATGATTTGAGTTTGTTGTCCCCAATACTGAAGTTAACATTTACCTCGTTATACATTTATTCTACGTGTAACATTATTGCTTTGAAAAAAATGTGTATTGTATAGTGTTGTAAATATTGACAAATGTTACCCAGTATTTATTGTCAGGTGTGGAATGTTACGGTCGTAACTTTAGTTATTTGATACGTTTTGTTTGATCCTATGTATCTGTGATACCCTCCCTTGTTATATACTAGGCTAACTGTCATTATATCACCTTGGTGACGGGAATCTCTCCCAGATAGACACTTACCACACTCAACAGTGGGAGATGTCTCGTCATAGAATGTGGTTGTCATACAGAATTATCTCCCTTTACAGGTCCAGAAGCTGACTGCAACATTACAGAAGTTACAAGGAGCATCAAAAGACACTAGAGATGCCCTCACCTCAGAAGTATGTACTCAATGTCATGACAACTGTGAGCATTGTCGCTTTGCCCAATGTGTTAGCTAGAAGCCCAAAGCCCTCGTACCCTGTAATGTTCTAGCCCAAAGCCCTCGTACCCTGTAATGTTCTAGCCCAAAGCCGTTGTACCCTGTAATGTTCTAGCCCAAAGCCCTCGTACCCTGTAATGATGGTCACCACTGTTCCCCGCAGTCTGTTATCTATGATCAAAGACAACAGATTCAGATAAATGAAGATAGGAAAAGTTAACAAAATACTGAATACTGTCTATGTTGAAAGAAGTCCGCCTCAAAGATTGTTTTGTGAAGTGACCTGGCAGTAAATTATGTGTAAAACATATGATTGTAGCCTTTGTGTTCTTCAACTACATGTCCATTAAGTCGAACTGGTGTATTAGAGGAAATGTCGTTAATGAAGCAAGACAAGTTATAGTAATGATACTCCATATGAAATGGGTGTTTTAACTTCCCCTATGATAATTATTGGTAATCATTGTGGTAGACCATGAGGAAATCATTGGTGATATGTACACATTCTCACACACATTTGGTTTCTTGAAACTCCAGCTATTTTAATTCCAACTTGTATTGAAATTTAATATCCTAAAAGCTATTGGTAAAAATAACATGCTTATAGATAACCTGGTGCTTCTTTCAAGTTTTAACTTGATTAAGAATAACTCTTGCAATATAAGTTCAATATTTTTCTCTTCTTGCAAATCTACAACTGCATTAAATGTGTTTTTGTGTCTCTTTCAAAGTTAAGTAATTACAGAAGTACCTACTATGTAAGTGTATATATAGATCCTAATGCTTGCCAGTCTATATATCTGAGGCTATTTTATACTGTTGTTGACCCAGTAAACGCTGTACATACCATCCGATCGGTTTTAAGTCGTGACAAGTTTGAGACACCATGAGTGGAACATTATCTGCTGTGTCTAGAATAAAAAATTGGTTTGGAGTATAAATTTGTACATTAAAATCTGTGATTGGAGAATTTATAATGATACAATGATGGTATGGATTTATAAGTTTATTGGGTGTATTACGGTAAATAAACTATATCATATACTCAGTCTGAGGTAGTGTACTAGAGTAACCACCTGGGAGGCAGGATCGGGAGTAGGAAGCATTGTAGAAGTAGTCCTGTTTTATAAGAAGATTGGTTGGAATCTGAGCTTATAACCAAGTATATCTGATTAACACATAAAAGTTTACACAGCAAATGCAAAACGGGCGCTACTGAAACAAATACAGCTGTAGTAGAAAATGACTAACAACTTTTTTGAAAATGGGGTAGGTCAAAATGACATAACTTTATTTATTTTTTAATTGATTAACTACTAGTAGGTAAACTGATTGGACTTGAATTTTAGATAAAATCATTAACAATTTTGATTGCTTTCTTCCATCATTTACAAATACAGTGATGCTTATAATCCTGTTTTTTTATGCTGATATGATATTTGATGTACTGATGACATTGCTAGTTAGATAAGTTTAGAGGATGTCCTACCCAGGTGTGTGATGGTGTACCACAATGTACATCGCTTCCATCTAGACAAATGTCTGTACTGTTGTAATATCAGTGTAAAGTCAAACAGCTAATCATTATTTAAATTTTTGTATATTTGAAGAACAAACTTTATACCTAACACGTCTTACTCGTTTCACCCTATTGAGATACCATGTAACAATATCTGTTGTGTATATATGACAGAAGTGTCAAGTTTATATGTTTCATGTCTACCTGTGTCAGTAGCAATATTTGTTGTGTATATGTGACAGAAGTGTCAAGTTTATATGTTTCATGTCTCCCTGTGTCAGTAACAATATCTGTTGTGTATATATGACAGAAGTGTAAAGTTTATATGTTTCATGTCTACCTGTGTCAGTAACAACCTTTGTTGTGTATATGTGACAGAAGTGTCAAGTTTATATGTTTCATGTCTCCCTGTGTCAGTAACAATATCTGTTTTGTATATATGACAGAAGTGTCAAGTTTATATGTTTAATGTTTACCTGAGTCAGTAACAATATCTGTTGTGTATATATGACAGAAGTGTCAAGTTTATATGTTTCATGTCTACCTGTGTCAGTAACAACATTTGTTGTGTATATGTGACAGAAGTGTCAAGTTTATATGTTTCATGTCTACCTGTGTCAGTAACAATATCTGTTGTGTATATATGACAGAAGTGTCAAGTTTATATGTTTCATGTCTACCTGTGTCAGTAACAATATCTGTTGTGTATATATGACAGAAGTGTCAAGTTTATATGTTTCATGTCTACCTGTGTCAGTAACAATATCTGTTGTGTATATATGACAGAAGTGTCAAGTTTATATGTTTCATGTCTCCCTGTGTCAGTAACAATAAGCATGACTTACTTTCTCACAAACATCTGGATACCATCTCACATTTCCTTACTGACTTGATGGTAGTAACCATCTTAATCTATATTTCTCTAGATCCTCTGTCTAGAATAGCAGCATTACATGTCATTTTCTACTTTCCTTTTCCATGCCTTTAACACTAACTGTAACTTACAAGTCTGTAACAAACTATGAGGCTGTATGGAATGCCAACTTGACCTATGAACTGTCCTGATTATGTATGTCCTTACACAGGACAGAGGATGAGGTTTTATGGTAAAATCGTATAAAACTTCTGTCTACACTGTTTAACATCACAGTACAAGTATATATTTTGGTGATATATTTATCTTAATTGGTACTCATGATAGTGATATTTCTGTTTGTGTGTTCCTAACATTAACAGCTTAACATGCACAGTCCTGTAATAATAGTATCTGCATATTGATAAATAAATAAGTGAATTCCTGGTGAAATGGTCTTGCATAACAAAGTTGACTCCTTTATTGATGTATGTATTGTAATGTTGCATTTTATTTTGCGTTTGTATTTTTTGTGTTTGTTGGTTGATTGGGATCAATAATTAATAAATCTTATACATTCACTGTTTTTGCACTTTTTGTCTGATTTACACGATTTTGTTTTCTTTTGTAACTTTGTTTTACAAGCACATGTAACATCTGTTATCAATAACCGCTGTAACTTGGTAATGTTAACTAATACCAGGGAATCCTCAGTACCAGCCGGCTAGAACAAGGGCCTTAACTGTTTATGGTGGATATTTTAGGTGGCAGACCATCATGACAATATAGTGAAATTGCGGAACGAGAACCGAGAAATTGATGACAAACTGAGAGAGGCATTGTCTACAGCCCAGCACAGGGGAGATGTCATCAAGCAACTGAGGGAGGAGGTCAAACAGTACCAATCCAGGGTCAGTATTAAGGTCAAACACTACCAGTCCAGGGTCATTATAGAGGTCCATTAATCAGGCCAGGGTCAGTATTATGGTCAAACACTACCAGTCCAGGGTCATTATATAGGTCACCATTAATCAGGCCAGGGTCAGTATTAAGGTCAAACACTACCAATCCAGGGTCAGTATTAAGGTCAAACTCTACCAGTCCAGGGTCGGTATAGGTCAAACACTACCAATCCAGGGTCAGTATATAGGTCACCATTAATCGGGCCAAGGTCAGTATATACAGTAGGTCACCATTAATCGGGCCAGGGTCAGTATAAAATATATAGGTCAAACAATACCAGTCCAGGGTCAGTATATAGGTCACAATGACTAGGCCAGTGTCAGTAGGTAGGTTACAGTTTACCAGGCCAGAGTCAGTATATAGGTCACACTTTACCTGATCAGGGTCAGTATATAGGTCACACTTTACCTGATCAGGGTCAGTATATAGGTCACACTTTACCCAGCTTGGGTCTGTATGTAGGTAACACTTTGCCAGGCCAGGGTCAGTATATAGGTCACACTTTACCTGATCAGGGTCAGTATATAGGTCACACTTTACCTGATCAGGGTCAGTATATAGGTTACACTTTACCAGGCCTGAGTCAGTATATAGGTCACACTTTACCTGATCAGGGTCAGTATATTAGGTAAATGCTGTTCATATGTTTGATAATACTTGCATAACATTTTTGAGAAAAATATATATGTTTTTGTAGAATTATAATTATCTGAAATTGTGTAATTGTAAATTATCTTATATCCTATCCATAAGGGTCAAGATTTCCAGAGAAAGATGGAGGCAATGGACCAGGATCTCCAACAGACTCACAATCGCTACTCCAACCAGTGCCGTGAGGTCAGTACACACTAGATTACTCACTATATCTCATAACATCAACATATCACAGTAACTATATCTCATAACATCAACATATCACAGTAACTATATCTCATAGCATCAACATCTCACAATAACTCTATATCTCATAGGTTCGTATTATATCTCATAGGTTCATATTATATCTCTTAGGTTCATATTATATCTCTTAGGTTCATATTATTGATTTGTACAATATTAAGGGTAATAAGTTAAGATCATCTGATCATTTGTCCTAACACAAACAGTTGAAGAAATAGTGTCTACTGTTGTAATAGTTAGGGAGTTTATTTCTTATTCAGATTGACCGCCTACAGACCGATGTCCAGGAGCGAAACTTGACCACTAGCCAGCATGAAACTTACTTTAAGTCTGAGTTAGCTGACAGAGAAGAGGAAATACACAGGCTGAAGGCTGAGGTTAACATTCTGCATGAAAAACTGTCCCAGACCAACTCACAGGTATGTCAAGTTCAACATCTTCAATGATAACTGTCCTGTTCCACCACATTGGCTAGGAAATATTACCAAAGATAATGTCTGTCTTGGAAATATTACCAAAGATAATGTCTGTCTTGGAAATATTACAAAAGATAATGTCATATTACAAAAGATAATGTCTGTCTTGGAAATATTACAAAAGATAATGTCATATTACAAAAGATAATGTCTGGCTAGGAGATGTGCTGTTATCTTTGGTTGGTTGGTTGGGGCATGTCAACAAGTGTTTGTCTAGTTATGATTTTAATGTAGCAAATTTCAGAAATATTTGTTTTATTCTATCTTATAGTTGTTATCCCGAGAACAGCAAATAGCCAATCTCACTTCTAGCATCAAAGAACTAGAGTCAGAGATTGCCAGGAAGGACCTAGCCCTACAAAAGTTTGATGTCGACCTCATGAATGTTGATGAGGAGAGGTGCAAAGCTGAGGACAATGTAAGTACCGGTGCTTGTAGTTGTCAGATTTCTACGTATATTTCTACATTAAACATCGCACGGAAGATCATTAAATCTATCTTATGCTAGATAACATCATCAGCTGGTCTTTCAAGTAATTTGTATAATTTTCTCTTATTTATAATCTTTCCAATGTCTCCTACATTTTTCTCTTATTTATAATTCTAGCAGCTTGTTGCAAAGATAAATGATAGAAATACTATTTTTCATGAACAGAAGAAGTTTTGAGTGGTTGTTATTAATGGCTGGGTTTGACTAGGTTTCCCGACGTGATATCAGTATCCAGCAGCTAGAGCAGGACCTGGCCCAGGTGAAGGCTCAGTATCGCGAGTCCGTGGAGGAGAACGGACGCCTGGAGGCTCGGATACAGGCCTTCGCCATCAACGCTCAGAGTGAACAGGATGTCCTTAACTCAGAGGTAAGGGAGACAACTCTTACTTCTATATCTATCAAAAAGGCAGTGGGATCTTGAAACACATTCTGATACATAGGGGGTCGCCTGATAATAACGGTATTGTCCCTGTCTCGCCTCAGTCAACAGAAATACAATTATTTTCTCTATCAGTAAATGTTATTTATATAAAAAATTCAAAATGAAAAAGATGGTTGGCTAATTAAAATGTCATTACCAGAGTATTTATGGAATAGCAACTGCAAAAGTAAGAAAATGTAAAAGTTGTTAGAAAACAAACTTTACCTATGAAGTTCATATTGAATGAGTGCGGTCAAGTTTCCTGGAAGTTATGTAGTATCAATACTGAGTAGATGATTTTGGTTGCTGTTTGACTTTAGAAAACCTATTGATCTGTAATGTAAAACAATGACCTCAGGTCAATGATTGCCTTCACTTTCTGTGTTTATAGTATATAGGGTACAAGATTATAGTGCTGGATCAATAGGTTATATCGATCAATAATCACGATATTGAGGATGTTTTTCAAATAATTTTGAAAGTAATTTTTTGTTCATTTTTTTTGTGTCAAGTACTCACAGCTATAGTATTTTTTATTTTGTTTTTAGGTCACCTGAGCTTTGCTCAAGTGACCTATTCCAATCGCTTTTCGTCCGTCGTCGTCCGTCGTCCGTCGTGCGTCGTGCGTAAACTTTTACATTTTCAACTTCTTCTCAAGAACCAGTGGATGGATTTTTTTCAAACTTGGTCAGAATCATCCTTGGTAGATGAGGCTTCAAAATTGTAAAATTGGGATTCCTACCCCCACCCCTGGGGCCAGGGCGGGGCCCCAAAGGGAAAATTATCCAATATTTCAAAAATCTTCTTCTCCAGACTCAGAGGTACTACAGTGATTTTCTTTACGTGGAAAGAAAGATCATCAGGGGCTTTATTTAAATTGAAAATATCAGGACCCCGAGCTATCCGTTCTCCCTTGGGGAGGGGTTAACGTTTAATATAGTTTATATAGGGAAATAACACTTTTCGGTATATATTTTATATATTTTCAGCAGAAAATTGCTCAAACTTAGTCAGAATCATCTTGGGTAAATGAGAGTTTTACTTTGTAAAATTAGGATTCCTGCCCCATCCCCAGGGGCTAGAGCGGGGCCCCAAAGGGAACATTTACCAATATTTTCAAATTCTTATCCATTGATGACATGACAAGTATTGAATTTCACTTAGTTTACATGCTGATTTCCACATCACATCTAAACAATAAAATAAAGCTACCAGTATCTATGATATAACTCAGGTGACCGCTAAGGCCCTTGGGCCTCTTGTTTTAAAACTTGTCAAGTCACTCCAAACATTCGAAAACTTATCAAATTTGCATTAGAGCAGCAGTACTCTCATTGTGGTGTTTCTGTGTATATTTAGATGTATTTGTCATTCTCCTATACAGCTACATCCATTTAATGATAAGTAACATGTTATATGTCTGGTATCATAAGGCTTACAGAAAAACAACTTGATTGCCTATCAATTCATAGTTAATCAGCCAATGGTCATGCTCGTTAGGAAGCTTTGTGCGGGTACTACTATTACCTGTATACCTGTACGTCAGGCAGTTAGGACAAACATGTTCATGCTGATCTTACCTTGTGAGAATTGTTATATGGTGTACTAGTCTAGTGAATGTACAAGGTTTACTGGTCTAGAGAACTGTCTGGGAAATGTACAAGGTTTACTGGTCTAGAGAACTGTCTGGGAAATGTACAAGGTTTACTGGTCTAGAGAACTGTCTGGGAAATGTACAAGGTTTACTGGTCTAGAGAACTGTCTGGGAAATGTACAAGGTTTACTGGTCTAGAGAACTGTCTGGGAAATGTACAAGGTTTACTGGTCTAGAGAACTGTCTGGGAAATGTACAAGGTTTACTGGTCTAGAGAACTGTCTGGGAAATGTACAAGGTTTACTGGTCTAGAGAACTGTCTGGGAAATGTACAAGGTTTACTGGTCTAGAGAACTGTCTGGGAAATGTACAAGGTTTACTGGTCTAGAGAACTGTCTGGGAAATGTACAAGGTTTATTAGCTAGAAAAACTAATCCAGAGAGCTGTCTGTGGTCCTTGCAGCAGTAATATAACCATGGCCTGTGTTCAGTTTATGGAGAGGCTTCAGGTGAGTTGATTACTGATTTGTTCTAATTTCTAACAAAAAAAACAATGATTTGAGGTAGAATGTGATGTGAAATGTACATGACCATTATGACAAAAATTAATTGATCGCAGGTGAAGCGGCGAGAGGAAGCCATCAAACGTCTCAAGATGGAAACCATCACCATGCAGGAGCGCAACAGTAAATATGAGGAGAAGGTACGTAACTCTGGTGTATAACTGGAGACCAGGGACAGATGTGTGGTCGCCTTTCTATCTACAATTCAAACAAATCAGAAAGTTTGTGTGAGAGGTGCCTTTCTATTTACAATTCAAACAAATCAGAAAGTTTGTGTGAGAGTTGACATGCATTACTTCTATTTTGACATATTTCTGTGTTTACTTGTCTGCCTGTCAATTCCACTGTGTTTTTGTAATCAGAAAACAATAGTACTGAGATCAGTGTGTTATCTATATATTTACTGACATAAATGGTGGTTCTCCACTCCTGACTACTTGCCTGATGAGTAGCAGATATTCCACTGTGTTGCTGGTTTGTTGTTATGTAAATACATTGTTTGTTTACACAGGTAAACCAGATGGACCGGGAGGTGGAGCAGCTTAAGATGCAGCTACGCACTTCTCAAGCAGAGGTATCCCTGTCTACAAACCTTCTTACCATTGATGAAATTAAAAAAAAAATGTTCTGTGTAATCATTTATCAGAAAAGTATACCACTTTAGGATTAACTTTAATGTATGTGTATTCTCCAAAAGTGTACTACACAACTGGTTTGTTGGACAGATTGAAATAACATACCTTGTATTAAATTCTGAAATGTTTTCTTTTTAACATTAAGTTCAAATAATTGAAACCTTAAGTGTTACATCCTTGTTTGAAAAAAATGTGTTTAGACAGACACAGGTATTCCTATATTGATAACATAATAATAATTATTACAGAACGACACAAAGAAGGGTACGATCAGTAACCTGGAGTCGAACATGAATGACGCAAAGCGCCGTAACACTCAGTACCAGGAGGATGTGAGTCGCCTGGAGGACCGTGTGCGTGAACTCAACATTGAACTGACCTCCCTCCAGTCCCAGAGTGACAAACAACAGCACAATGTGAGTATCACCAAGGAGACAGGGTCAAACCTGGCGTCAAATACTGTAAAACTAAGGGTCAACACGGGTCAGTGTAGGGTTCAATGAGAGATTATAAAAATTAAACAAAATTCAAACCTGGGGTCAAATACTGTTAAACTAAGGGTCAACACGGGTCAGTGTAGGGTTCAATGAGAGATTATAAAAATTAAACAAAATTCAAACCTGGGGTCAAATACTGTTAAACTAAGGGTCAACACGGGTCAGTGTAGGGTTCAATGAGAGATTATAAAAATTAAACAAAATTCAAACCTGGGGTCAAATACTGTTAAACTAAGGGTCAACACGGGTCAGTGTAGGGTTCAATGAGAGATTATAAAAATTAAACAAAATTCAAACCTGGGGTCAAATACTGTTAAACTAAGGGTCAACACGGGTCAGTGAAGGGTTCAATGAGAGGTTATTAAAAAATTAAACAAGGTAAAACCTATGGTCAAATACTGTTAAACTAAGGGTCAACACAGGGGTTAATGTAGGGTCAAACTGGAGGTCAATAAAACAATCTCAACAAGTTCAAACCAGGGGTCAAATACTGTTAAACAATAGATCAACACAGAAGTCTATGTAGGGTTAAACTGTTAGTAAAACAATCGAACAAAGTCAAACTGTGATGTATGTACCTTGATAAGGTCAGACCAGGAGTTGTTACAAACTGTTAGTAAAACAATGGAACAAAGTCAAACTGTGAAGTATGTACCTTGATAAGGTCAGACCAGGAGTTGTAACAAACTGTTAGTAAAACAATCGAACAAAGTCAAACTGTGATGCATGTACCTTGATAAGGTCAGACCAAGAGTTGTTACTAGGCTTAGTGTAGATTTAAACTCTAGGTAAAAAAAAAAGGATCAATACAGGGTTAACCACGATGTCAAAGCAATGTTAAATCTGAAGGAAAACTCTTTTAACCACACAGATCAACCAGACTGACAATGTCATATTGTAAAATTGTATTTCTTATAACTTAGGTTACAGTGTGACTTAGTTTTATTTGTTCAAAGCCACTATGTGCATTCTGATGAAAATTTCAACTATTTTAAGTGCCTTATTCTGCTTTGTATGTGACATATATATTGACTGTGTTTGTGTTTCCTATGTAGATTGGTACAAAGGAGGAACTGCTGATAAACCTGAAATCAGACCTGGCCAGTCTACATAAACAGCAGAAGGAGTCCATGAGTAAGGTGGGTAGCGTAGGGTAGAGTAGAGTAGGTAGCCAGTCTGTAGTCAGCCTTCCATCTCAGTAGGGTAGGTAGCCAGTCTGTAGTCATCCTTCCAACTCAGTAGAGCAGGTATAGCCAGTCTGTAGTTAGCCTTCCATCTCAGTAGGGTAGGTAGCCAGTCTGTAGTCATCCTTCCAACTCAGTAGACAGGCTTCCCACTCAGTAGAGTAGGTAGCAGGTCTGTAGTCTGCCTTCAAACTCAGTAGAGTAGGTAGCCAGTCTGTAGTCAGCCTTCCAACTCAGTAGAGTAGGAAGCCAGTCTGTAGTCAGCCTTCCAACTCAGTAGTCAGCCTTCCAACTCAGTAGAGAAAGTAGCCAGTCTGTAGTCAGCCTTCCAATTCAGTAGAGAAGGTAGCCAGTCCGTAGTCAGCCTTCCAACTCAGTAGAGAAAGTAGCCAGTCTGTAGTCAGCCTTCCAATTCAGTAGAGAAGGTAGCCAGTCTGTAGTAAGCCTTCCAACTCTGTAGAGTAGGTAGCCAGTCTGTAGTCAGCCTTCCATCTCAGTAGAGTAGGTAACCAGTCTGTAGTCAGCCTTCCAACTCAGTAGTCAGCCTTCCAACTCAGTAGAGAAGGTAGCCAGTCTGTAGTCAGCCTTCCAATTAAGTAGAGAAGGTAGCCAGTCTGTAGTAAGCCTTCCAACTCTGTAGAGTAGGTAGCCAGTCTGTAGTCAGCCTTCCAACTCAGTAGAGAAGGTAGCCAGTCTGTAGTCAGCCTTCCAACGCAGTAGAGTAGGTAGCCAGTCTATAGTCAGCCTTCCAACGCAGTAGAGTAGGTAGCCAGTCTATAGTCAGCCTTCCAACTCAGTAGTCAGCCTTCCAACTCAGTAGTCAGCCTTCCAACTCAGTAGAGTAGGTAGCCAGTCTATATTCAGCCTTCCAACTCAGTAGTCAGCCTTCCAACTCAGTAGTCAGCCTTCCAACTCAGCAGTCAGCCTTCCAACTCAGTAGAGAAGGTAGCCAGTCTATAGTCAGCCTTCCAACTCAGTAGAGAAGGTAGCCAGTCTGTAGTCAGCCTTCCATCTCAGTAGAGTAGGTAGCCAGTCTGTAGTAATTGTTCCAACTCGGTAGAGTAGGTAACCAGTCTGTAGTCAGCCTTCCATCTCAGTAGAGTAGGTAACCAGTCTGTAGTCAGCCTTCCAACTCAGTAGAGAAGGTAGCCAGTCTGTAGTAATTGTTCAACTCAGTAGAGTAGGTAGCCAGTCTGTAGTAATTGCTCCAACTCGGTAGAGTAGGTAACCAGTCTGTCGTCAGCCTTCCATCTCAGTAGAGTAGGTAACCAGTCTGTAGTAAGCCTTCCAACTCAGTAGAGAAGGTAGCCAGTCTGTAGTAATTGTTCAACTCAGTAGAGTAGGTAGCCAGTCTGTAGTCAGCCTTCCATCTCAGTAGAGTAGGTAGCCAGTCTGTAGTAATTGTTCAACTCAGTAGAGTAGGTAACAAGTCTGTAGTCAGCCTTCCAACTCAGTAGACTAACTTATAAAAAAATCTGTCTAAAGATGTTACTTTTAACGAGCTTTAATTTATCAATTACGTGGTAAGAAAAAAAATTGATCCAAGATCATGACAGATGATGTTCATTGAATTTCTATATATATTTAACGGTAGACATCTTCCTATAAAGACTATAAAATTTATATAATATATATACAGGTGAATATCAGAGATGACACAATCCAGAAGCTGAATTCTGAAATAGGTCGTCTGAAGGGCAAACACCATGAGAAGCTTGGTGAGGTGAACAAACAGTCGGACACCATCAAGAAACTACAGGAGGCTCTCACCCAGTGTCATATCGACCTGGACAAGAGCCGAAAACTCACCGAACAGGAGGTACGTACCACTAACAGTTTGTACAATATCTGACTCATCGAACAGGAGGTATGTGTCAGTTCGTGCAATACCTAACCTGGGTTTTCTTTAATACATTGATTTTATATACTGCACCTATGTGTGACGTATGTCATGATATCTTCCTGTGTTATCCAGGTGAGACGAAGAGATGAGTCCATTAAGACGTTACAGGAGGATCTGATGGAGTCTCAGGCCCAATACAGCGCCTGTTATAATGAGGTGAGGCAAAAATTAGCTTTCTGCATCATAAACTCATATCAGATGGCTGTGGAACAAAACAACATCCTATGGATGTACTATCCTAGTCATCACCTTGATAGAAAGATACCAATAAGGATTCTAACAACATAATTGTCACCAATAGAAAGTGTAAACGTAATTGTGTGTTTAATGGAATAGGTGTCTGTAGACTTGCATATAAAAATAAAGACTGGTAGTTTAAAAAAATACAATATTGGCTTTCACAGATTGATATGTATGATTTTACCATGATGAATGGTCATGCATGAGAGAACAACTATACTCTCCACTAAAGGTAGTGATCAGTTTCAACAGATCAAGCCTAGAACAACATTGGCTTTCACAGATTGATATGTATGATTTTACCATGATGAATGGTCATGCATGAGAGAACAACTATACTCTCCACTAAAGGTAGTGATCAGTTTCAACAGATCAAGCCTAGAACAACAGAGACATAAAGGAGTGTAGTAACATTGTACGGCAGTTAATGGGACAAATATCAAACTCAAACACTATCTCAATACTTAACCCAATAGTACAACAACTATCACAATAGTACAACAACTATCACTATATTACAACAACTATTGTGATAGTTGTTGTACTATTGTGTTAGTTGTTGTACTATTGTGATAGTTGTACTATTGTGATGGTTGTTGTACTATTGTGATCGTTGTTGTACTATTGTGTTAGTTGTTGTACTATTGTGATAGTTGTACTATTGTGATAGGTGTTGTACTATTGTGATAGATGTTGTACTATTGTGATAGTTGTTGTACTATCTCAATACTTAACCCAATAGTACAACAACTATCACAATAGTACAACAACCATCACATGAGTACAACAACCATCACAATAGTACAACAACCATCACAATAGTACAACAACTATCACAATAGTACAACAACCATCACAGTAGTACAACAATCATCACAATAGTACAACAACCATCACAATAATACAACAACCATCACAATAGTACAACAACCATCACAATAGTACAACAACCATCACAGTAATACAACAACCATCACAATAGTACAACAAATATCACAATAGTACAACAAATATCACAATAGTACAACTATCACAATAGTACAACAAATATCACAATAGTACAACAACTATCACAATAGTACAACAAATATCACAATAGTACAACAACTATCACAATAGTACAACAACNGTAGGAGGGGCTTTGTAAAGGTCAGGTCAAACAGAGGGTAGTAGGAGGGGCTTTGTAAAGGTCAGGTCAAACAGAGGGTAGTAGGAGGGGCTTTGTAAAGGTCAGGTCAAACAGAGGGTAGTAGGAGGGGCTTTGTAAAGGTCAGGTCAAACAGAGGGTAGTAGGAGGGGCTTTGTAAAGGTCAGGTCAAACAGAGGGTAGTAGGAGGGGCTTTGTAAAGGTCAGGTCAAACAGAGGGTAGTAGGAGGGGCTTTGTAAAGGTCAGGTCAAACAGAGGGTAGTAGGAGGGGCTTTGTAAAGGTCAGGTCAAACAGAGGGTAGTAGGAGGGGCTTTGTAAAGGTCAGGTCAAACAGAGGGTAGTAGGAGGGGCTTTGTAAAGGTCAGGTCAAACAGAGGGTAGTAGGAGGGGCTTTGTAAAGGTCAGGTCAAACAGAGGGTAGTAGGAGGGGCTTTGTAAAGGTCAGGTCAAACAGAGGGTAGTAGGAGGGGCTTTGTAAAGGTCAGGTCAAACAGAGGGTAGTAGGAGGGGCTTTGTAAAGGTCAGGTCAAACAGAGGGTAGTAGGAGGGGCTTTGTAAAGGTCAGGTCAAACAGAGGGTAGTAGGAGGGGCTTTGTAAAGGTCAGGTCAAACAGAGGGTAGTAGGAGGGGCTTTGTAAAGGTCAGGTCAAACAGAGGGTAGTAGGAGGGGCTTTGTAAAGGTCAGGTCAAACAGAGGGTAGTAGGAGGGGCTTTGTAAAGGTCAGGTCAAACAGAGGGTAGTAGGAGGGGCTTTGTAAAGGTCAGGTCAAACAGAGGGTAGTAGGAGGGGCTTTGTAAAGGTCAGGTCAAACAGAGGGTAGTAGGAGGGGCTTTGTAAAGGTCAGGTCAAACAGAGGGTAGTAGGAGGGGCTTTGTAAAGGTCAGGTCAAACAGAGGGTAGTAGGAGGGGCTTTGTAAAGGTCAGGTCAAACAGAGGGTAGTAGGAGGGGCTTTGTAAAGGTCAGGTCAAACAGAGGGTAGTAGGAGGGGCTTTGTAAAGGTCAGGTCAAACAGAGGGTAGTAGGAGGGGCTTTGTAAAGGTCAGGTCAAACAGAGGGTAGTAGGAGGGGCTTTGTAAAGGTCAGGTCAAACAGAGGGTAGTAGGAGGGGCTTTGTAAAGGTCAGGTCAAACAGAGGGTAGTAGGAGGGGCTTTGTAAAGGTCAGGTCAAACAGAGGGTAGTAGGAGGGGCTTTGTAAAGGTCAGGTCAAACAGAGGGTAGTAGGAGGGGCTTTGTAAAGGTCAGGTCAAACAGAGGGTAGTAGGAGGGGCTTTGTAAAGGTCAGGTCAAACAGAGGGTAGTAGGAGGGGCTTTGTAAAGGTCAGGTCAAACAGAGGGTAGTAGGAGGGGCTTTGTAAAGGTCAGGTCAGAAAGAGGTAAATAAGTGTACGTTTTAAAGGTTAGAAAGAGAGATGTGGATGAAAATTTATAAAGTATTTGTCAGGAAGAGGCTAGAGGAAGGCTATATTGGAAGGAGTGAAGGAGTTAATCACCTTTAACTCATGTAATGACAGCCTTTAAAATGAGCCAATGTCACCAAAGTATTAAATTGACCATTACAGGTGGCCCACAGGGACCAGGTGATCCTCAAGGTACAGGGTGAACTGGACACCACACAGGAGAAGTACCAGGGATGTATGGAGGAGGTAGGGCCTTTATTAAGAATTTCAGGAATCAAACAATTCTGAAAAAACACTTATTGTACTATAACTATGTAAACGTCAATTAGATTACTGAAGGATTTGCTCTTTTCAAACTGTTTTCGAATCATTCTTTCCAGCTATAATGCCTTATTACTGGGAAACAAAAATCTCTTAAATTACCTCTTATACTTAACTATAATAAATGAAACTAATGAAAGCTATTGAAATTACTAAAAATGGGACTCAAATTATTTGTGTTTTTTCAGCTGAACATTCGTGAAGATGAGGTGATTCGGCTGAATGGCCGTGTGAAGCAGCTGCAGCAGGAAATCAGGGACCTCAACGCGAAGTGTGATCAGGACGAAAAGAAGGTAGATCTTATTGTAGAGATAGAACAAAGGGCAATCAGGCTGAGAAAGTAGACAAGTAAACACAAGGGAAGTCGGGGCCATAAGGAGGATCGTATTGTAGAGATATGTGTACAGGTGGAACAGAGGGCAATCAGGCTGAGAAAGTAGACAAGTAAACACAAGGGAAGTCGGGGCCATAAGGAGGATCGTATTGTAGAGACATGTGTACAGGTAGAACAGAGGGCAATCAGGCTGAGAAAGTAGACAAGTAAACACAAGGGAAGTCAGGGCCATAAGGAGGACCATATTGTAGAGACATTTATACAATAATAAATGGACTGTGTTAATCTGGACAGGGAATGACTAAATAGACAGAGATTTAGCTTTGTAATGTGACCAAATGATTGGCTCTTATATTCAGCTAGTTTTAATACAGTACACAGAGTAACAGTATGATTAGAACCATGTTGATCCTAACTCACTGAGGGCACTATTGATTTTCTGGTAAATTCTTTAGTAAGAAGTAGTAGTAATGTTGTTGTCATTTACCAGTGAATTGACAGAGGTTTTTCATTATTATCTTTTCAGATTTCGGACGATGAAAAGTCAATTCAAAAATTGCAACATGATCATGAAATTTCGTTACAAGAGGTAAGGTTCTTTTTCATTCAAGATTGATCTGAATGTGAAAACTTTGCTGCAATGTCAAGTGATCAGATGCACAACTAAGGGTTCTAATAGCAAAACATGTGTTTTGATTTCAAATTTGACAGTTCTGCTTGATTTAATGGTATCACCTGTGATTTTAATGCTTTTGTTTTGTTGTTCACATTTTTTATGAGGAGCAGAAATATTTGTGTGTAAAAAATAAATCGATCTTTACAACATTACACAATATTTACGTAATCAATTTGTAGTTCGATTTGCACTGTGATCAGTCATTAATATGTCATAGTAATTCAAAATGTTAACTTGAAAATCCATTTTGATTTTAAACTTTAAAGACACCACCTAGGAAGACAGATGATCAGAAAAAGGGAGACAATTCTCGTTATTTGTCTGTACTGCATTGGAAACACATAGAACACCAAGCTTTAGTAAATCAACACGTTGTACAGTTGGATGCTTGTACTTCTGACTCTCACTCTAAGTACACCTCCAAAATGTTTTATCAGATTTTATATGGTGCCAAGGATTCTGGTAAAACACACAATCATGTTTAAATGTATCCATACCTAGAACACACGATTTTTGTTTATATTTACTCGTATCTTTTAGCAGATTTTTTTTCAGTTATTTTGTACAGGGAATGATATATTATAAAACAAAACTTAATTGAGATTAATTAATACTTGGAGGGGGGGGGACATGAAAATTACATGTTATTTGCAATACCTCATTCTAGAGTTGTCTCCCCTGATCATGTCTGCATTGATTTGAAAGGTAATGATTGTCATACTCTAAAGCATGTACAAGGTGACGAGGTTTGTAGAGACCTGTAAGCCTGTAGTAATGTAAGCTTTACCCTGTAGACACAGAGAGGACAGAAAGGATCTGTGGTAATCATACAGCAGTTATACACAGCTATTATACACAGCTACTGTACACGACCGGATACTTAACATGTACAAGGTGACGAGGTTTGTAGAGACCTGTATACCTGTAGTAATGTAAGCTTTACCCTGTAGACACAGAGAGGACAGAAAGGATCTGTGGTAATCATACAGCAGTTATACACAGCTATTATACACAGCTACTGTACACAGCTACTGTACACGACCGGATACTTAACACTTAGAACTTAACTGGTTGGTTGGTTAAGGTAGATAACCCCAGGGTTTGCAGAGGTGGTGGAATAAGGGGCTTTGTATGGTAAAATGTCCTATACCTAGGTCTGACATTGTTAGACTTTCGTGTAAGGTAATGTGATTAATACTGATAACTTTAATACGTAAAATATAATGCAATTACATAATAACTAACTTTTGTAATTAATGTCCTGATGTAGAGACATCTTATTCCTAAGGGAACTTTATTTCACACTTCTGTGTGATGTGATAACTGAGGTCTGTGAGGTGACGGACAAAACAATGATGACCATACGAGTTTTGGTGAATTTATTATATTTTGATTACGTAACTAGATTTGCGATTTATGGCAGCATCAAATATTCTGTGACATGATCATACAGATTAGTATATTCAATTGGTGTCTAAAGGTATCTAATTGACACTAGTACAGTTGTCTGTTACAATACTAAGAGAGGGCTACGTGTTTCTGCAGTTACCTCCCCTTGTACTGAAAGTGGGCATGTGCTCAAATGCTATTAGTTTCTGTAATAAAACCACAACATTTGTTTCTAAAGTAAAATCCTCTGTACAAGATTAGCCTTTAGGTTAGGCCATACCAAGTTGGAGTAAGATTAAAGTTTTTTACCGATTTTGATCCCTCTGTAAATGTGTACCTTTGTTTTGTTCCCGGTAGAGAGATCTAAAGGTAAGAGCAGGTGTGTAGACCTGCGTCGGAGAGCTTCTGTACCAGATCATTGACTGTTTAATCCTCCTTCTCCCAAGTAACAACTGTCACATGAACTTTGTGTGCTATCAACATCTCCACATATACATTTGTTTTAATGATTCTGTCATTCATAAAGTCAAAACTTCAGAGATTCACATATTGGCATTGAAAAAATATTTTTGATTTATGTGCATGCTACAAATAAAAATAATATTTATAAAAAATGTTTTATGCTTGTTTTATGTGGTCATACTGTTGTGGAGGTGATTTTGAAATAGCATACAAATTTCATGTTAAAATAATTGAAGTAACATTGATTGACATTCCATCATATTTCAGCTTTATCTAATAATACATTAAAGTTTTGTAAATATATCTGTTTTTGCTATAAACTTTTTTTATAATAGCTGTGTGCCTTCTTTTGTCAGACTTATCAGGTGTGTCCAATATAAGTATATATTTATAATAGTTTTTATGTCATTTATGACTGAAGTTGCATTTAGTTTGATTAGTAAGTTACTGCATGATGAAATCATCGGGAGTAAAGAGCAAGCTGTGCATGCCTACCAGGGACAGTCTGTAACAATGTCAAGTCTAAAGTCTAGGAATCTGTTATTGACGATATTCAAATCTTTCAGTTATACTTAATTTTGGTGTTGGTTTTGTTTCTTTATTTGCAAAATCTTTCGCCAATTTTGTTATTGCTGCAATCTTTTTTCTTTAGATTAATAAAGTCTTCAAAATTCTTCTTATTTTAATTTCAATTTTTTCAGTCAAATTTAGATGTAAAATGTCTGCTGCAATAACCATAGTAAAATGACTCGTATGATTGACCTACATTTATTAGCTCACCTGGTCCAAAGGACCCAGGTGAGCTTATGCCATACCGTGTCGTCCTTCGTCCGTCGGTCGTCCGTCCGTCAACATTTTCTTTAAACGACTTCTTCTTCTTAACCACTGATTGGAATTTAACTAAATTTGACTGGAAGCATCCCTAAATGGTGGGGATTCAAAATTGTACAAATGGTGGGGCTGACCCCCCAGGGGGCTGAGGGGCGGGGCCAAAAGGGGGCAATTTGGCTAAACTGCTTTAAGCGACTTCTTCTCTGGAACCAAGGGATGGATATCAACCATATTAGACTGGAAGCATCCCTAGGTGGTGGAGATTCAAAATTGTACAAATGGTTGGGCTGACCCCCCAGGGGGCTGAGGGGCGGGGCCAAAAAGGGGTAATTTGGCTATATTTCTACAAACGACTTCTTCTGTAGAACTATGCACTGGATATCGATCATATTTAATCAAAAGCATTCATGGGATGCAGGGATTCAAAATTGTACAAAT